ACAAACGCACTCCGTAGTTGAAGTGTGTTGGAACACCTGGGTAAAGCCTCTGAACCATTGAAAAGACCCAAGCCGAGCCCTAAAACTAGTAAATACCCACACATTTAGTGCTAAACACTCAAACTTCTAATCCCTTGCTTACTCCATGCGCGAAATTCCAAACACCAAAGCCAGGCCTTAACAGCCCAAGCCACTAAAATCCCAAGCCTTAAAGTCCAAGCCCGCAATCCCCGACCCCAACTAGGGTGCGGGTTTTTGGCCGGGCGGCCACCGAGGCCAGGGGTCCCGGCATCACGTCGAATTGCAGGCCACCCACGAAGGCTAAGACGGGCTGCGCATTCCTAGCTTCAGCGCGGTCTCTTTCAGAGCTTGGGGCAAGCCCGGGGTTTAGGTTGTAGCCCCTTGTAAGGGTGCCTGTATGGCTTCGGTGTCCTTCCGGCAGGCCCCTAAGTTTTGTACGTGATTTTCGCTAAGGCAAGGGATCGATACTTGATGTTTTAATGAGGGCCCCGTAGCTCTAGAAGAAAAATATGAAACTGGGCGCACGAGAACGGCGACAAAACCTAAACTCCGCTGCACTGCTCACAGGCAAACACGGTCGAGGCTCTTTTTTCTCGCCGCGACCTGCTCGACTGTGCTGGCATTCTGCTGCAACGAACAGGTTGGAGCAACGGAACCGGTCTAAACGGCGAGCTCGAACAAACCGTTGTTCGGACTGGCAAATCGTCAAGCGGGACTTGAAAAAACTGCTGAATGCACCGGCAATCTGATCAATCTGGAGAGGTAACATCGTCGAACGGGTTTTGTCACTTGATGCACATGTGCACAACATTGCACAACCAGACAAAACCCCAAACTCCGCTGTACTGCTAACAGGCAGACACGGTCGAGGCTCTTTCTTTTCGCCTCGACCTGCTCGACTGTGCTGGCGTTCTGTCTGCGAACAAACGGACCTCGGGAGTGCGGTGCACGGTTAGGCGAACAGGCTGTCCACGATTGCCTGGTAGTCCCACGCTGCCCAGTCCGCCGGAGCTTCTTGTAGTCGTAGAAGGTCGGGCCAAGCTTTTTCGATCGAGGGCTCCAAGCGCTGACAGCCGAGGTCGCCCGCCTTTGAAAAATCTCCTCGAAACACCTCATCGGAGAGATTAGCGTGACTGGTCACTCGCTGAAAGTTCACGAGCAAGCCCTGCTCAGCCACCCACAACCAACACGAATCTATCAACCAACAAAGTGCTGGATTTTTAGAGCTCCTTTTGCTGAGGGCGTGCTCGGCGGCAGTGTTGTCCACGAAGCACACGAGGCAATCGAACGGGTCATGGGCACCACAATGGAGATCAACTGTGCCATCGACTCCAGCCAGTAGATGTAATCTCGCGAAGAGAAACACTGGCAGAGCACGGTTTCTGGGACCTGTGCTCTAAAGCTGCAGCGGGATCCGGATGGGTTCATGTAGATCGCTCCCCAACCGTTGGTGGACTCACGCAGTTTCTGCAGGGCTGTTTGTCGCCCATCCACCTGTTTGCACACCGCCGATCGCCATGCATAGTGATGAAGGCGTCTGCGTAAAGGCGGCCAATCTTCAGGGGAGATGCTAGGCAGGAAGCCTGGCTTGAGAGCCGGCCGTAGCTCAACCAACAGCGCAAAACTGACACGAAGTGCTGGCGACATTGCAACTTCGGTCGACGATCGAGTGCTGCTGTCGGTACAGGGCTTCAGGAGGGCCTGTCCTGCTCTGTCCAAAACCCACGGGCACACGACAGTAAGCTTGCCTACCAAACCGGCTGCCAAGGGGCCCGAACAAGTGCCCTTCTGCAAGCACTCAGACAAAGAGGTGACCAGTTTGGCAATGCGCTTTGGGCCGGCACTCGCCCACACACCCTCTGGAACCAAAGCCAAAGTCCACAGAACGCAGAGCAAGCTGTGCGACCTGGGACCTGGTAGTAAGTAGGTCGTTTCTCTTTGGGTTCCTTCATCCTGAAGCCCAAGTTAATGTGAAAGGTCTTGAAAGCCGAGAAGACTGACTGAGCCATCTCGGAACCCTCGGACTGGTAAAAGTCATCAACGAAGTTTGCTGACGGCACTATCAGTAAGGACACTGCCAGGAAGGACAGCACATCTGCCACACGGAGATACGACCAGACGCTCCGAGTGCTGCCAAAAGGCAAGGGAGGCGGTTGTGGTAAAAGAGTGCCAGCTCACCGTCGGCTGGCATGATGATTCCGGATTCGGACGGTCCCTGATTGGGAGTGAACGGGAAGCGCTCTCGTGATCCACAGCACTGAGGAGTGTGGACTATGGCCTCCGGAGCTGCTTGGATGCAGCTGGTTAACGTGTCTGCGCGAACGTAGGACGGACTGCCAGTAACCCAGATGGTGTGAACTTGGTCGCGCAGAGTGTCTGTGGACTCGATGCTGGACGAACTGACGAACCTGTGAGATGTGATGCTACCGAGACGGCCGTGATCTCAGGCTGAGTCAGAATCGCCTGTTGCACATACCGCATTAACTGCCAGGGAACCCCATCGCCCTATCATCTGGATCGTTGGCAACGCCACGAACGACCTGGCCAGCAACTGCGCCCCTGCCACGGGAAATCTTCCAATCCTCCGACGCCTCATTGTGCAGACAGAAGGCCGCAACCTGGGTAAGGCCGGCGACGTCGCTTAGACGGTGGCTCGGGTGACCCCGTGAAGAAAATGTGCTCTGGCTACCACTTTTTTTTCATCGGCGCAGCGACACTGCCATCCTCAGCGCCCCGCAGTACGGGCACAACGGCTGGAAGCCGACCTGAGCGAACATGACCTGGCTTGCAGATGCAAGAATGTGAGCGAACACACCCAGTTTTAGACACTGGCAGCGGCCTCGCTGCCGCAGCTCCTGGCACGGCGAACACAAGTGCTTCGAGCGAGGGTTCTTGTGGCCCTCCAGTTTGTCCTCCCGCATGCCCTCCATCCACACTGAGGCACCCAACGCGGCACTGACCGGTCAAGTCCCGGGATTGGTCGCGAACAGGCCCCCATCTGGCATCGATCAGGCTTGGCCTTCGGCTCGCCACTCCAGCCCCTCAGCAACGGACTCGGAGAAGACTGGCCCTTCACTTGCGCCGTAGCTGCTCTGGACTGTCCATCCGAGCGTGTTCGGACGTGTCCATGAACACACGCAGTGCTGTCATCACCACCGCTGCAAAAGGTCCCGAGCGGGGCTGAATACCATCTTCCACGTCTCCATCTGCGGGGGACCAGACCCCACGGCTGGCGAGGATACCGCATCCGGACGCGTTTCACCCTAGCTATGCTCATCCGGGAGGCTCTCGACCGGGTCGGTCCGTGCATCAGCCATGGCTACGCGTGGAGAGGCTACTTGAAAAAGTTGCTGCCCGCACCGGCAAACTCCAGAGGTAACATCGTCGAACGGGTTTTGTCACTTTTTGTCACTTGATGCAAACGTGCACCACCAGGCAACCTGCAGGACCTGCAGGTGCCGGATTCGCCCCGTTGCAACCGTCGAAGGCCATGATGCCGGAGAAAGCTGTACTAGATGCACTAGCCACTTGAGCACACGTGCACAACCAAACAAAATCAGGACGTGGGCTTCCCTGGGTGGGGCAACGGACCTGTGGCCTCGTCAATCTTCGCAGGGCCATGTCGGGCCAAGGAGACACAAAGCGGTTCAATTTGCTTGAAACATCGACCCTGTTCGACCTTACCCACACCCCGACCCTTCACATGCTTCAAGATACCCCGACAGTTCACGATAACGTCAAACCCAAGCCGAAAACCCTCAACTCTGAACCCAAATTCGGAAATCCAAACAAACTCTGATTCTTGCTTGACCAAGTGAAGAAATTATGGGTGCTGCAGGGGCTATGTCGCCTAACGGCCAGCATAGGAATGCATGATCGTGTTCAACCCGAACAGGCCCCAATCCAGAATAAGCCCAAACCGAAACTCGGCCCTAGCCCCAGACCCCGAACTCCAAGACCTGAACCCTGAACGCGATACTGTGACACCCGAGCGTCATCTTGTAGGTCACCGTGAGGCACTTTTCGATGGCCAGCTCGGACGTGTAAAACGCGTAGCCTACGTCGAAGCTAAGTAGGAACTACTTAATGACCAGAGCAGGGGCTCTTCGGTCACTTGGGTGAGTGTTGTGTGAGCTTCCGTGAATCTTGGTGAACTCCTTGGTTCTGCCGGCTTGTACATCAGCACCCTTGGCTGACTCTGACCTCCGAAAGTTGCAACAAAGGGGCACTCCTTGAGTCCAACATGCTCCATGTCTAGAATGAATATGTATGTATGTATATATATATAATTCTATAGATACACACACACATATATATATGTATATATATATAGGAATCATACGCATAATTGTACAGTAGATTCTAGATCTTGTGGCTACTTGGAATTGCGGGGTTTCCTTCTCAAGGCTATTATAGCCTACCGAAAGCACGGAAAAGTGTCCGAACAGCACACGCCGTTTCCTACACACTCCCCGCTTACAACGCCCTGGTACTCCTTCAAGGAATTCACTCAAAACCCTGACGCTCCAAGTCCGAGCCGCCCTCCCACTTCGTGGGGTTCGACTTCATCCAGTCGACGCCGCAAGGTACGGCGTACGGCTCGAGTTTGATGAAATCGTCCTTGTTCGACACCTTTCTGAGAGTGAGAGAGTTTAATTAGTGCCTTAGTCCTCAGGTTTTAAGATTTGTTTAGGGTTCAGGCCCTGAAATGATTTAGTTCCCCACACAGAAGGATAAAACCGGGCACATAAGCCGTGGGATCGTTGACAACTTATGCTTGAGCCAAGAACCCAGCATGGACGGTAAACCTTCGGATCCAGGATGATCGTACTAAGGCAAACCCTGAACCTGGTAAGGCCGAGATGTGGGTGGGCGCGAGCACTGAATGTCAGCACCACAACAAACACCTTCTTTGGTGGCATGTGCGGAACTGAAACCGAAACCCTTTAGCCGGAACGCTAAACCTGTAACCTTACGGCCCAGACCCGAACCTCTTCCACTAAGCCCCAAAATCCAAACCGCCACAAAAGCATAAACCCCAACTGAACCTGACACCCCAAACTCTAAAATCCGAACCAAAAGCCGCAACCGCCTGAAAAACCGTTGCCTGCCAGTCACTCCGCGTCTTGCGAGAGCGCCGCGACTGCGGGGCAAAGGCCAGGCAGGAGCTGGTGTCTGTCTCACGGCCACCGAACCTCGGCTTTTAGGTTCAAGGCTGGGGTTTTGGGTGTTTTAGCATGTAGGATGGTGTAGGGCCAGGGTTTAGAGTGCATGGTGTTCTGGGAGGGCGGGGCTTAGAAAGCCACTCGCTTACAGCAAGGTTGCAATCGGGGCGATTTTATCTGTTGCGCTTTACGTCTGGGCAGTTGTGCAGATGACCCATAGTTGTAGGCTCTTCTCTAAAGCCTCTATTGCTACCCAAGCGCAGCGCGGTGACGTACTTCTTGCTCGTTGCAGTGTCGAATTTCTGGCTTCTGAATCTCAGAAGCATCGAAGCAGTACTTATCTACAGGAGCGGTACCCAACATGAGGCCAAGCTAGCAGCAGACCCTGAGTTAGTAACAAAGTTCCTCCTTCAGAGCTGCTGGGTGGCTGGGTGATGAGCTTCGAGGCATAGTTGCTGCCCTCGACACCTTGGTGGGAGGCGCTCAGCTACTGAAATGGGTGACAGACAGCAGCTGGTGCCATACCATAAAAAAAAACCCAAAAAACCCTAAACAGTGTCCATACCTGTGCGCCTAAGTTGTCAGACTGCAGAACCAGGCGGGATCTCTACCCCATTGCAATGAATTGTACTTGCACAGAGAGCTAAAAAAAGGGCTCGCACACAATCGTCCCACATGCCCCTGATGGTTTTGAAGAGCCCCGTGTCGCTCAAGTGAAAGCTTTATCTTTCACAATGTCATCAACATGTGGTAGGTTCCTTTTATCGTTCAGCTCTCTTTGCTGCCTCTGACGGCGGTGTCAAGATGTAGGAGGTCCCCTTCATTGTTCAGCTTTGATGCCTCAGCGAAGGTAATCAAATAGGTAAGGCCAACACTGCTGTTGACGACAGACCTTCCAAGCGGTAGAAACACTGTATTGCAAAGGTCAAGTTGATCGGTTGTCTCTGGCTTCCTAGGCCCTAGGCCCTAAACCCCAAGCCCTCACCCCTGATTGCCGGGCTGGCCACCAACCTTGAAGCCAAGTCCATCCGTCGGTGGGTCGTCATCTCCTCCGGCCCCGGTACAGAAAAACATAAAAGAACGAAGCTCCTTTTTAGAATTAGAGTTCAGGCTGTGGGATTTGTGGTTAAGGGTTTTGTGCTTTCGGGTTCTGGGATCTTGGGCCATGGGGCATCGGGGCCCATGGTGTCAGACAAGGATGTTCCCGTTTGCTCCACGTCTTCGAAGAGGCTTCTCTAGGCCTGTACGTTACCGTCTGGGATTTCAGCTTCGGACCCCAGCACAAAGTCTTAAGGTCTTGAATTCCCAAAGAGGGCCACTCACGCTGTCTAGTGATCTTTGGCGCAGATAGGCCTAACAGTCTATGAGTTCGACGGTACGGATTAGCAATGCTACGAGCCCAAGAACTTCGAGTTGCAGCTGGTCTTGTGGAGAAGAACCGAACATGTTTCATTTTAGGAAGTAGGGGCATCAGTTCCAACACCGCAACCCTCAAGCTATACCTGCTCCGTTCCTGAACTTGCTTGGTGGCCCTGAGTACTTAAACATGGGCACAAATAGACTAATTCCGCGCTCTGGCGCTGGCACTTCGGGTGTCGGCACTGGCGCTGGCGCTGCATGCAATCGAGGGGGAGGGCGTGCTGGTGCTAGCAGTGGCGCTGGCGCAAGAGGTTTGATCAACCGCGGGATCGGGATCGGGCAGGTTTAAGTTTAAGATACATGGTCAACCTGCATCGCCAAATGAGGGGGCTGGTTTAACAAATGCGATCAGGCGGTATCGCCAAAGCGGGGGTGGGTTTACGAAATGTGGTCAATCGGCATCGCCAAATCACAATGAGGGGTGGGCTTAAGATATGTGGTCAACCGGGGTCGCCACATAAGGGGGCGGGTGTAAGATATGTGGTCAACCTGCATCGCCAAATCAGGGGGCGGGTTATAACGGTCACAAGCTATGTGATCCACCGGGATCGCTCAACCGGGATCGCATGTGGAGGGTGCATCGCCAAATGAGGGTAAACACATGCGATCAACCGGCATCGCCACAAAAGGGGGGGTGGGTTAATGAGAGCGGGTTCAAGATATGTGATCAACCGAGATCGCCAAATGAGGGAGCGGGTAAAACGGATGCGATCAACCTGTGTCGCCAAAAGGGGGTGGGTTTAAGATATCCTCAACCTGCATCGCCACGTGGGGGTTCGGGTTGAAGAGCAAAAATGTGATCAACCGGGATCGCCAAATGACAGGGCGGGTTCAAGAAATGCAGTCAACCTGGAACCAAAGGGGGGGGGGCTGGTTTACAGGAAATGTGATCAACCTGGATGGCAACGTATGGCAACATGACAGGGCGGGTATTCGATCAACCTGGATGGCCAAATGAGGGTGCAGGTTTTAAAATCTGTGATCATCCCGGATCGCCTGATGAGGGGGCGGGTTTTCGACATGTGAACGACTTGGATCGCCAAATAAAATTGCCAGTTTAGCAAATGCCATCAACCGCCATATGAGGGGGCGGGTGTACGAAATGCGGTCAATCGGCATCACAAGAAGGGTGTGTGTTTAAGATATGTGGTCAACCTGCATCGCCAAATGAGGGGGCAGGTTTAAGATATGATAGATATGTAATCAACCACGATCGCCACATGAGGGGGTGGGTTTAGTTTAAAGAATGATTCGGGATCGCCACAGGATGGGGCGAGTTTAAGATATGCGATCAACCGGGATCGCCAAATGACGGTGCATCGCCAATTGAGGGGGCGGGTTGAAGGGCTGGCGCTGCCACTGGGCTTGTGCTGGCGCTGGCGCGGGGGCTAGCATGGGGGCTGGCTGGCGCGGGTGCTGGCGCCGGCTCTGGCGCTGGCACCAGCGGAATAAGGCTATGTACGTAGAACCTTTATGCTCTATTTGACGGATACCGTTTCTTGTATTCAATAATATCTAATATATAACAGTTTTAAAAGTTGAAATAAGGGAAATATTGAAAAAAACTTGAATATTTATTTTTTTGAAAGGAAGTTTCGAAAGTTTCAAATATTTCGCATTTTATCATTTTTACAATTTTCATTAAAGGAAATATTGAAAATATTCAATATTCAGAATTTTTAAAATTTTAGAACAGAAAATTTTCAAAATAATTTGAAAAAGAAATCCAGGTCCTGGATATTGAGACTGGGATTTCGGCAACGACTTAAACTAAAAATTAAAATGTAAAAAAATAGATATTAAAAACAATCAGTTTTTGAATGTTAAAAAAAATTTAAATAAAAGAAATTTCGAAAACTTCACATATTCAATAATCTTCTAATTCTTTAACATTTTCGATAAAGGATTAAAAAGTCGAAAATTTTCAAACTTGTTAAATTTCTTAAAAATTTTCAATAACGGAAATTCGGAAATTTTTAAATGTTCAATTTTTGTAATTTAAAGCGTTGTCGAAATTCCCGTCCCAACATCCAGGACCTAGATTTATTTTTCGATCTTTTAAAATTTCCTTTACGACTGCAAGAGCGCGTGTGTACTAGAAGCTGTGATTTGAATTTTTGTCCTTCTCAGAGTTTCGGCTTGGAAATTACTCATGCAATGGAAGACGAAGACATACGTTTCTACAGTGCTTGACTAATAAGATAAGCATTTGAGAGCTTCCAAATTCCAAATTCTGAAAAACAAACCAGGAGAGAACAGATACTTAGTTGTTGGGGCAAAACAAATAACAAAATGATGTGAGAGCTTGTAGCCTGTACGACCCGAAGCCTTAACACCAAACATGACGCGGAGTCTTGTCCAAATGGTGAATAAAATTGGCAAGGAAGGAGAGCGCTTCGACTGTTTGTACAATAACTTATAAAAACTTCCGCAATTTCGAACAACAAAGCTTGAGAATTACTGTCCTACCTGTGAACAGGAAACAACAAGACAGATCCGACAGTTTTTTCTATCGAATAGCAGCGAATGAGAACATTGAGGACAGGCCATAGCCCCTTTCATAAGTTTAGAGTTCTGCGAATTCTGGAGAAGAAAAAAGCGGACTGTTCCAATGCGCCTTATACAAACATGCTTCTTGTATTTTTGATAACAGTGCTGTACTACAGTAGAATTTAAAGCGCACCTACAACAGCACAATAATTCTTAACGACAAAGTTTTTGAGGATAGTTCTTCTAATTATTGGTCAGTTGATAAGGATAGAGCCTCGAAAGTAGCCGAGTAGCCTGTAATATCACATGAACAGCTCCCGACCCTTACTACGAAAGATGAGCCCGTCCTACTCAATATAGTTCTTGGAGCTTAAACTTTCAGTAAAAAAACGTTTGAAGGAGAGTGTCCGTAGCTTTCAAACATGAAATCTGAGAGCTCTACGCCAAATGAAAATACCAACGTAAAGGTCTCCCCTAAATCCTAAAGACTAATGCACAGGAGAACAGCTGCCATAGGCTTCAGCCAACAATAGGCCAACAATAGTAAGGAATAAAAGAGCGCGTCTAATGCGTAACAGTGTGAGGAGAACTCGAACAGCTCTCAACCTGAAGTCGCAGAGCGCATTCACCCTTTAACCTAATAGATCATTCAACTGTGAAGAAAGCAAGAGGACTGCTGTAACTTGTTACATGTCGTTGATAAGAGGAAACTTCTTATGGTGGTTGATTCCAACTGCGAGCCCCATCGACTCTTCCTGCGAAATGAAACGCGAATTGGCATAGATCTTCACCAAACACGCTAGGGTTCTTCGAATACGAGAGCTCGTCTAACCGCTTGAATATAACAAGTACACGTATATCTTTGAATAATGTACGAAAGCTCCCGTATCGTTGAAAAACGAGAAGAGAAAGCTACAACAACCTTTCATAGCCGACATATTATAAACGTCCTGCTAACTCTTAATGGATAACGAGTGGAGGAAAAACACTGAATTCTACGTGAGAAATAAGAGCCCCCCCCAAAGAAGAGACGATGACGCGAACTTCTACAACTCTTGGCTCTCAATTAACAAGCGATGTGAGAGCTCCTAGAATCCATGAGGAGGATATCTCTTGTAGCT